CACTGAAGACCTGTCAGATGATCTAGATATAGAAAGGGAGCGCAGGGCGTTGGCTGTCAAGTGCAACATGCTGGCCCGTAGATTTGCGCGATGTAATGAAGAAGTCAAAGTAACTTTATTTAGAGCATACTGCCAGTCGTTTTACTCGTGCAGTCTATGGGTCAAGTACAAGCGAAAGTCATACAATGCCTTGCGCGTTCAGTATAATAATGGGTTCAGGATGCTGTTGAGGCATCCGCGATTCTGTAGTGCATCACGCATGTTTGCGGACGCCAGAGTTGATGATTTTTACGCTATCATTCGTAAGAGAGTTGCATCGTTGATGCGCAGAGTCCGCGGTGCCACTAACGGTCTCCTGAACGTGATTGCTGACCGCTGCGACGGTCCGATTTTGAAACATTGGGTGATGGTACACATGACCCATTTATCTATTAATAAATAAGAGCTACCACATATACTAACATAGTTTTAAAAGTTTTCTTTTACTAACAAATCTATGGACTTTGTCTGAAAATAAAATTTATTATTATTATTATTATTAAAGTCAAAGGACTGCACCATTACCAGCGTCGAGTTATTTTTAGTCGCGGGTCTTTCTCCAGCTACAAACACATTTGTTGTTATTCAAATTACTTGTTATTCAAATTCTATTGTCCAGCCAATTTGATTATTCAGTTAGCATCTTTATTAAAAACTATCAAATCTTGACAAAAAGCGGTAACTAAGCATTTGTCGAGTACGACTGGTGGCTTTCATGTGGTGACCCACATGGAATACGATTTGAATTATTAACAAAGTTTGGTACGTTTCTTTTATGGTACTCACTGTGTGTAATTGTTGTCTGAGTGGAGTTCGCATAGCAGACGTCGTCGGCACGACTCACTGATAGAAGTCAGATCGGCAATACTACTGTCAGATCTTCGGAAAACTGACGCAGAATACCTGAACAACCAATCAAGACTGTAAAACATCATAGTTGAGTCGATAGTATTAGTGTAATTGAATATTTCATGACAAAAATGCTTATATTATTTTAGAATAGGTTATAATCTTTTGAAACGTGTTTTGGTTGTTTTTTCACTCAAAAATATTGAAATTATGTGACAACTTGGAGTATATCAGCATCAAGTTAACTTTCTTTTTAATAATAACTGCCCTTCGTTAGTTGTCGGCTTGCCAGCCCAACAGTGAGTGTGGCGTCGAGCGGTCTATGACCAACAGGTTTAATTTACGTGGCATTAGAGACAGATCGGCGGCGAGGGCGGTGCTCTTGATCTGTCGTTTTATGTAATGGGTGTAGCTTTTATAGGCATAATTAGTTTTGATGGCAACCAAATGAGGATGTAAGAAACATTATAATTTGACAAATCCGTTGGTGAGAGTTTTTGTGTATATATTTGTTCGTATATTTGTGAATATGGCTCATTGGGGTCTCTTATCTAGTTCACTGGTTGAGATTCCGTAAAATATGGTAATTTTATTAAAGGAAAGGTGGGAAAAATGAGATTAATTACAATAATGTTTTAGATAATTAAGAAAGAGATTTGCGAATAGAGTTATTTGACTTTACACAATGCTAAGTATATAATACATTTTAGTCTCAGACCAATATTTAAAATATTCAGCAGCGTCAGATGCTGAAAACTTAAATGAAACTTATTGTTTTCATATATATACAATGCGTAACAGAAATAACGCACATCTTTATACACCCCAATTGAAAATGTATGTACAGCGCAATACCACAATGATACCACCTAACTACCAATAACGTAGAATCATCGCATGTGAAATTGAAAATTCTTATTAAACTTCTTCATCTTGTATTAATGGACATTTTGCACAATTCTGCCAATGTCAAGTGAATAAATTAATTTCTACATGTAAAATGAAAATGAAATGCATGAAGGATGGCGATAAAATAATCACCCACTGCCACTGTTTTGTTTGTCACATGTGTTACGTTTATTTTGGTATTTTATTTTTCTCTTTGTTTATGAATTATTTTAGTCTTTGGTTTATGAACTTATGCATCATAGCGTTTAAGAGCATTTATACTTAAGGCACATTTAAAGACAGGTCATTTTTCTTTGTATTTTTTTCCTATGTTGTATTTTATTACAAGCTAAGAATATAGTGCATTTTAAAACACGCTTATAACATTCACTTAAGTTAATTTTTTGTTTGTGACGGCTGTAATGTTTACAGATAACCATAATTTACTTGATTCCTTATAAATTGAGCAAAAAAAAAAACCTATATTAGAAGTTGTTGAAACCGAATTATTATCTGATTTTAAACAAACTACTATCAGGATGTGCGTTAATTATGTTACACGTTGTATAGTAATAACCTCCTTTTTCGAAGTCGGTTAATTCACCTCAAGCTGTTACGGTTATTGTAAAAGTGCTCGGCAACAAAGTGAATCAGATATTTATCATTTTCCTTATAAAAACGGACGCAATGGAAAAAAGTAAATTGTGTGTTTTTATTTTTAAAGTATTTTTCTCATTTTTAATTACACTACAGCTTTTTGGATATTACTTCTTTTAATTAAGAGTTGAAAATTATTTTTTATTTACAAAGACATTTATAGAAATTAGTTCACAGCTACGCGATATGTTATCAAATAGTACAGCGCGTCGTGAGTGTCGGCGCACGCGCACGTAACAGAAATGTCCGTTTTTAGAAACTGTCCGTTTGAGGTGTCCCGCCCACTTGCGTAACCAAGGAAACTGTTATGTGACATTATATATTTAATACTTATGGAATTTTCGTAAGTATTGGCCACTGACTACTAAGATAATAGTTTTCACCGTGTCTTAGCCTATGATTTGCTTATGAAATAAGGTTGACATTCCTGTAAAAGATTTGAGATATAAAGTGAAAAAACATTTTTTAATATTTTTTTTTAATAAAAATGAATCATTCTATGGATAAACTCACAGAATGGATAAACTGATCGAACAGTTATAAGACTATTCTATACATATAAGATATTTCTACTGATATTAAAATTAAAAATTAATTTATTAGATATGTAATGCAAAAATCTTTAGTAAGTAAATTAGATTTACATTTTGAGTTAAGTTTGTGTTGGTTTTAGACCAGCGTTTTTATTTTATTACAAATACAGCGTCGAACGCTGCGCAGTCGTAGCATTAGAGGTTCAATCAAACAAAAACCTCTATTATCTATTGAAGTAGGTTTTATATGAATGAATCACTCCTGCTGTGTTTGATGCTGAATTTGTTACTGAATAGTAATGTTGATTATCTAATATTTCCAATTGTAAAAATATTCTTTATGCTTAATAATAATTTGGTAAACATAAATCAGTTCGAATACTCTGTGCAAGGAACCGACTTCACTTGGTTCTATCATTTTTATCCTATATCCTTTTTTTCGTTTCCGCTGAACATCCCCTCTACCATGCTATTAGCCATCAATACTATTTATAATCATTCTTATCACCTATAAATTAAACATGTAGAGTTATTCATTACAGAAATCTTAATCATGATTTGGATATGTTGTAAGGATCACAGAATTAGGTATTGTGCTAAGTAAATACGTTTTTATGGTTCACTACCCTAAGGGTAACACGGGAACCTTATGACTGAGACTTCGCTGTCTGTCTGTCTATCACCAGGGGCTATATCTCATGAATCGTAAAAGTTACACAGTAGAGAATTTAACAGATTATGCATTATCAATATAATCAATAAGAAATACTAAAAACCAGAATAAAATAAATATGTAAGGGGGCTCCCATGCAAAAGACGTATTTTTTTTGCTCGTTTCCGGTACGGAAGCCTTCGTGCGCGTGTATGACTTGCACTTGGGCGGTTTCTGTATAAATAATTCACCCATCTAGTATTTCTGTTGTACCTACTTAGACTACTTTTGTATCTCTCAGATTTTTCAAACTAATATTAGAAATAATGAGGTATCATTATACGGATATACGGATTATATAAAGACGCGAGTAGTTCGAATGCCAACTAATTATCGGGTAATTAACTAATTTTAAAAATGTGGAGTAAGCGTGCTGCTGACAAGTGTCTTCCGTGAATTCAGTAATGATAGCCATAAATGATATTATAGTTTAGTTGGTTAAGGACATTAAATACAAGTTGTTATTATAGTAATTGCCGACCCGCGCCAAAACTTTCTAACGCTCAGGTTATATGAGAAAATAAAATATCGTCTTTATTATTTTCATTTATCACATATTTCCCACTCAATTTTTCTTTATTTTTTTCAATAAAAATCTACCTCATACTTTAAAGATGATTTAAAATAATACAATAATTTCTAAATTGGTCCAGCCATTCTTAAGTTCACGAATATTTAACCACACAATATTAGCGATTAATTTGTGTTTACAATTAACTATAAATTTATATAAACACTGATCCAATTATCATGAAATACGTGCCACCCTCTTGGGTATAGCCCTTTTAAACGAAAAAAAAAAAAATCATGAAAAACAATTCGGTCCGCTATTAATGGAGATATCATTGAACCATTTGATAAGTAAACATATTACTATGCTTATGTCGTTGTCGATTGGTTAAAACAGCCATTCAATTAGACGGCTAGTTATTGAATCTATTGGCACAATTTTATTACACAACTATTTATACTTATAATAAATCATGTAGTTGTATGGGAGCCCAACCTTAATATTTATTTTACTGATTTTTAGTATTTGTTGAGTAGCTCGGTGATGTGGTGGATAAGCATCTTTCACATGGGTTGGTCACGGGATGGGTTATCAAAAAAATATTATCTTTAGCTACTTCGTGCTTCGGAAGGAACGTTAAGCCGTAGGTCCCAGCTGCTTTTGCAGCCGTCAATACCTTCTAATCCGCATTGGGCCAGCGTGGAAGCTCATGGCCCGTCCTCCATAACCATCTATAAGGAAGGCCTGAGATACAGATGTATTTTTAAAATTGGTTTAAATTGAGAGCGTGTTGAAGTTGAATAGCAGTGAGTTATTTGACTGACGGGTTGGCTGCATCGTCGACGGAGTGCACGGTGATGATGCTGGGCGTGAGCGCGGACACTATCAGCCCCACAGGTATCAGCGCGGTGGCCAGCTGCAGCAGGTTCTTCCAAGGGTTCACTCTGTAGCAGATTACAGGATTCGATTAGTAGTTTTTTTACTTATTAACCAAATTGCAATTTAACTATCCTTTGTTCAATAAAAAATACTCAATCAAATAGTTGGTATTTGGATGCTATAAAATGAATGGGTCTTGGAAGTTTGTTTACCTATACGATTCAAAATACGGTCTATCTTAAGAACCAAAGGTGACTTACTGACTGACTGATCTATCAACGTAAAGCTCAAATTACTTTAAGGATTATGATGAAGTTTGCAAAGAAAAAAAAAACAATAAACATTATTAGTCAAAGATTCAAAGATAAGGTCAAAGATTGGGGTTTAAAATATAATCATTATTGGTCTTAATATTATTTTTTTATAAGTATAGTATATAATAGAATGCCAGTTGTATATTATACGTTTTACTTCCGCTGCAGTTGATTCTTCCTTGGTTCTGCTCGCGTGCATCGGAGATCCAACACGAAACAGCACAATATTATAAATGTGATAGTTCTGTCTATGTATTTCATACTATTATCGCCGAACCAAGCAACTGGAAATAGTTCACGCAAACAAAGTCGAATTCTAGTTATACAATGTTCAGTTTATTATAAAAAAAAAATCATTTCTTTAGTGACCAAATGGACGATCGTATATGAAAATATCGGCCAAGAGCGAGTTGGACTCGCGCACCAATGGTTCCGTCTAAACCTATAGGTATTTCTTGAAAATATTTTTATTATATGATGTTATTTAAAATTTACGGTTTCCGCAATATTTTTGTGGTATAAGACTTTGATTCGTACAATATTTCAAGATTCTAAATTCACAGAAAATATCCTGTAAGTTTTGATTCCTTTAAGAGTTTCCAAAAAAATGTGGAAATTTGCGGCATAAACAATTGTATCTTTTGATTGCGTTGGCTTAGAAACTTGTCTCTTCACAGCTCCAACGTACAGTAGACTTGAGTATTTGATATTAATTTCAGCTTGATATCACCGCGCGTTCCTGAGAAAAGGGTCTTGACAGATGGATGGACAACTAAGTGATTTTATGAGGGTTCCATTTGTTATTTCGAGGTACGGAACCCTTAAACAATCATAAAATTGCAGCGCCATCTATTGACAATCAAAATTAATTAAACCATCACTCTCTATTCTAAGGACTGCAGAAAATATGTGTGTTTAGATGTCATAACAGTGTGTTGTTTTATTCAAATCAAATAGTTTATGACCGCATCATCTGTCACTTGGATATTTAAACTATACGCTGTCTTGTTAGAAAACTTTCATTATTTGTTTAAAGCCTTTGTTGATGTGCGCTTGACATATGAATGTGATATAATTTATTGTTTAAAACATCCGGTTCGAATGCTCAAGTGAGTTAGTTAAAATAAATATCCAACTGTATCATTTATAACAAATGTGTGTACCAAGACAATTGTCAGTTAGGTGTATGTATATACGAGGTTTAACTAAAGCTTTTAGACCGTAAGAGTTCATATTTTTACTTGATTATACAAAAATATATAACAGGAGTATTATGTCATTATTGGATGCCGATAGATGTACGAGTATAGTTCCTGTTTCAGATTCAAACACATCTTAGGAACACGCGGCAGGGTAAACACTCGTCTCTCCAGAGACCTCCTATGTAAATCCAGTATTAGATACCACTGGTCATGGAATCTTTGACAAGTACTTTTTTAACGTGTCTTGACAGAGCTGGAGAGGCTGGAGTAACTCTATCCATACATTCGTCGTACGAAAATAAGGCACCAATTAGATATTGCAATATCAGAAGAAAGAGACGAACGACAAAACGAAGACAGTCTTAACATCTTAAAATAAAAATAAATGACTATGTTACACGAACCAAAATAGAGCGAATTCATTACATCGAACCGTAAAATAAATTATATTATAAAATCACTCGTCACTTATTGTTATGAATATATTTAGTGACTTTTATTACGTACCACGTTCATTAAACTATGTGACTTTGTATTATTTTAACGTGAAAGTTTTTAAACAAAAGTGTATGCATAAACTAAACAGTTCATTGGTATTAAAAGAATTACATTTTTTGCCGTCTCAGGCCGGATGCGAACTTGCAACCGGCCGGTTACGGCTCTAATGTTACCCGAGATCTGCCTTTCTATAAATTTTATGCAATCTACAAAATCATTATGTGTTATGACGAGAACTTCTATTATTTTGTATTTATTATAAAAAATTATTGTAAAGAAAGAAATGATTGTAGGTCTTAAAATCTACATGATTTTTAACTTCTTTATATTAAATATTTGTTGTGACTTTTTTTTATCAGAATGTAGAAAGGCTAGATTGATTAGTCAAGAAATTAGCAAATCTAGTATTACGTTTTAATATAAATAAATATATTAGCGTTATTACAACGACAACACAAATTTTAACGACATTGCTTTTTAACTCTAAGAAAGTCTTTCATGATATAGACTGACTTGATTGAATTGACCATTACTATTTTCGCATCTATATTGGCTACGGATGCCATTAAATATACCCTGGTCATTTCAGCAGTTGGCTGGGGTATAGCCAGGCGACTAGTAGGGGGTGTAATACATCATCTCCGATGTAATAAATTCAAATCGTCTGTCGGAGTGTTCGTAGCGGACCGATACGACGACGCGCTGCCGCCAGTGAAAGGACCTGCGTCTCCTCATCATATGGAAACTTTCCATTAGTGATGCAACTTAATAGTAATATCGATGCGGCCTTGAAAGTACTATTTTATAAACATTAAAATACCCTTATACACGAATGCTAGTTGACCAAGTTTAGAAAACTTATTGACCATATTAATAATTGTGGTAGGTAACTTTTATGTTGGTTTACATATTATAAAGGTTTGTGGATTTGTGATGCCAAGAATTGCGGGAAGGATAACCGACAGTAAACATACCTTGGCTTTTTTTAGATGTGAGTGATTTCTGAAAACGTATTTTTAGATCGGTGGCCTCATTTCTCTCACTGTTAAATAAAGAACATAATTAACGATTACAATAGACCGATTAGAATTTGGTTTCTTAATTTTTTATAAGTATGTTTACCTTATTTTTTATATTTGTAGTTTGAAGAAAAATGTGCTACGGTTTGAAATTATTTAGAAAACAGTATAATTTTTAAAGTAAGTAGAACAGAATTTAATAAAAATTTTGGTCTTAAGCTGACTCTAGATACAATTTTTGCCTGCTTACCCTCTACTTCAGACTTAACCTTAATATCGTTTTTACACAGGGGATGAGAGGTGGAAAAGTTTTATTTTTCAAAGTAAGCCTGAAAATGTATAGAATGAGTAATTCTAATTCTCCACTTTTAGGCTCAAACTTTGATACAGAATTCCTAATGAGTAATAGTATATCTAAGAAGTCTAGTTTTTGTCTGCCTCTAATTCTATAGTAAATTGAATCTTAGGTTTATAGAATTAAGATGGTTTAAGAAACTTTACTCTCCACATTTATTCTAAATAAATTTACTTTTATTATAAATAAGTTTTTATAGAAGTCATAACTTAGCGATTGAATATGTAAATCTGAAGTTTTTAACTGTTTTCGAATAACTGAAAATGTAAATGTTTTAAAAATCGTACGTTGTTTATTTGTTGGTCTCTGATGGCTGTAAACTTGATGCGAACGAAGTGATATTATTAATGTTTGGTTCTTATTTGTTGAACGCCAACTTAAAAAGGCTGAATGTGAAGTAAACGAAAAAGAATGCATGTTTCTTGAGCCTTTTTAAAGTGTTATTTAAAAAGACCTTTGTTTTATTTACAGAAAACTAACCTCAAGAATAAATATGTTATGATGAAAATAAGCGGGTCCGTATACTTTTTCAGTAAGAAAAATTAGAAAAGAAGCTTTTAATTTTATTTCGCAGAGTAATTTAAATAAAATTTATATTATCGATATTTATTAATACAGCACTCTGAGTTATAGCCCCTTATTTTTACCTGAATACTTTATTCATTTCTTTGCACTTTCGGAATTCTGGGTGTGGTTGTGATCGGTGAATACTTTTTCAATGATTTCTTTTGTGATTATTACATTTGATTCGTAACGGGAAGTTTTTGTTGGTTATTTTTCCAGATGGATGCATGCACGTGCGTCTTCATATTGTTTCTTTGATATTTAAAAAAATTTTTTTAGCTTGGTTTTATGACTTCTCGGTTTATATATATTTCATTCAACTCCTAAATTTTAAAACCTATTTAATATCTGTGATGAAGATCGTCGACAAACTTAATTACAATTATAACATTTATCAAAAATACTTCTTTAAAAATTTACATAAAAATAATATTATGTTCTTGAATTAGGAGAACTTGATTGTCAGGCAACACGAGGGACATGTTACGTTACGTTATGTGTAAATTAACACAATGCATAAAAAATACGAGAATAGTGACTAGTGGGTAAATTTTTTACCCACTAGTCACTATTCTTTTTTACGAATCGTAAAAAGTACTACTTCACTAATATTTAAAATATTAAATAACTATTAAAAAACAAAAGAACTTCATTTTTAAGAAACATGCTTAAAAACCACCAGACCTCAAGATACATTGATAAAGGTCCACATAGCGTTATTAATGTAAAATTGTTCAAATATAATATCAGTTTTTGTTAGTTTTTCTCTATGAAGATATTAAAAGAAATGAGCTCTCTGTAGGTACTTAATCGTTGCTGATCGGTAAATGAGTGAGCATCGTAGAAAAACCTGCTCTTATCGAACTATTAGAATGATTATCTGTAATTTTAAACAGTTAGGGAAGTGTATATTAGTAGTCGTTACATAATTGTCATACAGTTTATGAACCTCATTATAACTGTATATTTTGTCCGGTATCAATTAATGAATACATATAATTAAAACTAATTACAAACCGGAATTTGGCAAAGTAGTATTTATTATGGCGTTAAATGAATAAAGAAACATTGTAGCATCATATAGTGGACTTCCAATCCAAGGATTCTAAGATGGGTGTTATAGCTGGCTTCACTCGCATACTCTTATAAATGAAAATTACTCCGTGTCCTACGAAAATCATGAATCATTCGCACTCGTATTTTATATCTTACTAGCTTTTGCCCGCGACTTCACCCGCGTGGTCTAGTTTTAAGTCCAGAAATGAGAAAATTCCATAAAAACTTTTATCCCTTAATTCACCCCTTTAGGCGTCGAATTTCGTAAAATCCCGTCTTAGTGATCATTTACGTCCTAAAAAGAACCCGCATGCAAAATTTCAAACTCCTAGCATTTGTAGTAATGAAGTTTCATACAAACTTTCATCCCCTTCTTTACATAGATCCTATGGGATGGAATTTCCAAAAATCCTCTCTTAGTGTTCCTCTACACTCCCTAAGGAATCTTCATTCCAAATTTCAATTTTCTATGCTCAGCAGTTTCGGTTGTACGTTGTCTGTCTGTCAGTCAGTCACCCAGTAACGCAAGAATTTTATATATAATATATAGATTGACAACCTATACTAATTAAATTAAGATAAAAACAACTTACTTACTTAGTTTATAAGCTACTATGTTGATACTACTACCTTTAGATGCTATATCAATATTTATATAATAAGTTTTAGAAGGTAAAACTAATTTTCATTTAATTTTGTTATGCTCATGAGATTCCGCCGGTCCCTCTGCATACAAACAAACTGACATAAGCACTTTCTTTATGAATATCTTTCTCTTTATTGGTAAGTAGGTATTATATATTTTTATGAGTCTTATTAAAATTCACACAAACTAATATTATAATTACAAATAAATTTAATAACATCTGAAAGTAATTTTGTTAATCGACATTAAAATGAAGTCTCATTTTCATTGGTCGAGAAGTTGGTTCATATAAAATATGCAGACTCTGAAGGCGGGATAGCAATAAAGTTACTTTAACAGTAAATGTTTTGTATACCACCTGCGAGTGATCCCCGCATGCAATGCAATAGTTCAGTCATATATATACAAATGTATTTCCTCTTCCGCCTAGACAATCACAATAGTAATAATGAATGCATTCTCTATCTATAATAAATAGCAATGTCATAGAAATTTTCCCCACCCACAACCTATCTCTTTCGACATATAAAAATCAGTCTTCAGATGAGATTCTGTTTAGGAAGTGATTTTACTTTTGCGAGTAGCGAGCAAGATCTACGTAGACGTACCGTTTCTTAGCACCGACGTGGTTGTTTTCCTTAAGGTCGTTGAAGGTAAGCCCGAAGTCATCATCAGATTGTACAGGTTTATCCTTGAAGGGATCAGGTGATCGGTACAGACCGCCTGCTGGTATCTTCACAGGTGCCTCCACTGTAGGTCTCGACTCTAGGTCAGGATGGTGCCAATTGCCTATAATGAATAGCATTATTTTAGATACGACAGTTCCACTAGAGTGGTGTCATAATTGCAACTAAGCACATAGGTAACATACTACCTAGTGAAGTGGCGAAATATTACAAAAAATATTTATACTTTAAAAATCATAATCAGCACTCACAGAACATAGAAAAGACGTCTTTCTAAGTCCTGTGACTGTACTCACTGTACCCATCGCTTAGCTGAGGGTCTTTTCACAAAAAGAAACGGGTCATAACTACAATGCGGGACTGATATGGATCTGGGATTGCTAATGACTGATATGGATCTGGGATTGCTAATGACTGCAAATGCATCTATGTACGTATCTTCTGAAGATTGGAAGAGCTCGCTATACTAAATATATGGTTTCTAATCTGATCAAAGACTTATATTTGCGAAGACCATCTCTGAGGTCCCGGGTTCGATTCCCGGTCGGGTCAATGTAGAAAATGAACTTTTCTATATTGACTCGGGTCTGGGCGTTGTGGTACCTTCGTTGTCTCAAATACTCCATAATACGGGGGCTTTAGCTACTCATCTTGGAATCTGAGCAACGTATGTGATGTTGTTAAATATTTATTTATATTTAGTTAAATTACCTTTAGCTTTATTGAAGAAGTTACTCTCGATCTTATATGGGAAGTCGTTTTGGTATTTATATTCATCGTTGTAGAACAAACTTGATTTGAATTGATCTTTATGGGAACTGGAAATATGCAAATAACACATAAGTAGCATTCTTAACAATCACAGAACATAGAGAGAGATCTATGTTCTGTGTTAACAATCATCGTAATGATTAACATTTTCTTTATATTTACTAGAAATTTCATGATGATTGATATACAAGAAATTTAATAAAGCATGACACAGTGCTGTAAGTGAATTTATCGCAGAAATCTCTGTTTTATTGAAGCTCGAGTGCACGAATTTGATTAGGTTCAATTGTAGCCCTGAGGATCAATTAGATCAGCTTTGCTATTCTGTAATAAAATAGAATAGAGGTTCAATCAAATAAAACCTTTATGAACTTTTGAAGAAGGATTTATTTGATTGAAATGTGATAGCGCTCTGATCGACGTCTAGGTTAAAGTGGATTTTTAGATACCTTATAAATCCTGTGGGTGGTTTTTTTAAAGGTCGGAAATCATCAAATGTCGGTTTTGTAGGAGTTATATCAAAACTGTCGACATCTAAGAACGTTCCCAAATGTGGACTGGGCTTGAACTCCTTAATGGCTTCAGCAGTTTTATTAACTTCATTAGACTCTTGGCTATTTTCTTCTCCCTTAACAGCATCAGATTCACCATAAGCTGTTTCAAGCTTCCATGAAGTAGCATCTTTTATTTTTTCTATGGTTTCGGGTTTGGTGTCTTTGTTGATTATAGTTTTGTTGGAGATAGGGTATAATGTTGTGGTGTTCTGGGAGGTAATAGCAATAGCATCTTCTACACTTTCTTTGCTGCTGCTCTTCTGGCATACGACGTTCGTAGCAAATATTAACGCTATGAGAATTATCTGTGGAATTATATCAGGTAGTATATAAATTAGGTTCTTTTAACGCTACTCTATTTTGATTTGAATGGTTTAGCAATATAAGTTCAGCTAACTCTGCTAACAGTGTTGAAAGGAAGTTATGTAGGCATCTATTTATAGACATAGAATTAAATTATTTTTCAGACCTTTACGATAATTTATAATTCCAGCCATTGAACATATTTTAAATCAAGCGTAAAAGTAATATTGCTTAAATATGAAAATACCACTGACGGTAACCGAGCATGAAGTCCATTGAAAGTGATCCCCGAGAAAGTGCAAGTTAAAGGGCTCGAGGTCAATGCTGGTGCGATATCGCCGGCCACATCTACTCACTCCTCATTGTCCGAAAGAGTTGTTAAAGTTGAACGCGGGAATGGGTTTCATATTGCCCTTTGTGCAGGTTGGTAATACGACATCATGTACTATTTCAATGAATGACTTGGATTATTTTATTACAGACCAATATTAGACAACATCACATGCATTACTAAAATCGCAAACTAAGTACATAAAGCTTTTGTGTTACGTACATCTGAAATAACCAAGGTGACATCCAGACCCGAGACCAAGATACACACGGTGATTAGAAGCTTAAGGTGGTTATTGGCGTTGTGTGTAATATAAATAAACCTATTATAGTTCTACAACAATGTAATAAGTTTCCAGACTCGCTGAAACATCACTGTTTCCTTTTATAAATTCACTTCTTTTTTCAGTATATCTCCAAAGATATAGAATTTTGTTTTTAACAGTTTCTAATCAATGTGATATCAGTAATTCGCTGGGGGCATCCTCTTAACGGTATAATGGAACGATGGCATTTAACAAGATGGTCCCGAGAGCGAAAGTTGCGACTAAAAGCTGTTATTAATATTTATGTAAGTAGGCCAAGAATTTTTTTTCTCATCGTAATTCAGTTTGTGAGTCAGAACGTAAGAGATTATATCTCATATTTGATTAATGTCATTAGATAGTTTATTACACTTCATTAATTTGAGTTTTAAATTTGATTAAAACGATTCACGCTATTACTGAATTAAATCGCACATTTCACTATTAATCAATTTTGCGTAACGCTTTTACATTATTTATTGAACTCTATTAAACTCCGTTTAATTTTCCTTTTTATAGAAAACAATATGAATACAGATATACAGCCGAAAAGACAAGTCCAGTACCTACGCAATGTGAAATGCTTTTTTTTCTTTAAAAGCTAATATTAGTTTTACTTAGTCTTATTTAGAATCGACTAATTATTATTATTTGATAAATAATTAAGGTTAGAAGAATGGCCGATATTAGATGGTTATTCAAACATGTACTTCGTGCTTCGGAAGAAAAAACTCGTCATTATTTTATTTTTTACCATTGCCTGCCCCCCAAAAGTGCCCACAAAAAGCTGATTTTGATAATAGGAGTTTATTAATACAAAAGCTCGAGGGTTTGGTGTGTGAATATGGGTTAATTGCAAGTTTTCTTTTTAATATTTTCTGTTCCTCGGTTTTTTACCTCGTTTCTGTGTTCTGTAGTTTTTCAGAGCTGCAGCCGCAAATATCCATCATCTCGCACTGGACTGGCGTATTTTTATATTCTATGTTTTGATACTGTTGTTTTTATAAGTGTTTCGTTCTATAAAATAGAATGTAGTGGCCAAATAAATACTGGTTTTTATCTATTCAGATTGTTACTAGAAACAATTTCTTTTTGTAATGGCCATATAATCACTACCGAAAATCTCGTTGTTACATTTAGCACTAGAATTCCAGTACTTGCAATTGCATAGTGGTTTATCAGCGTGAAGTGTGAGTAGTTTACCGTTTTAGGTGAAAGTGACTTGGTCTCCGGTACAAGTAATTATGTAACCGACGCGCGACGTCCGTCCGTACACAGGTGCCTCACCGCAACGTTACATTGAGCGAAAATATTAACTAATACGACTATCCCAGTGGCACAGATAATTTTTTAGTTTTAGATATTTGAAATTTTGTTTAAGTGATGTCGCCTTACATCAACCACACTTCGCAACTAGCCAATTAACCATTAGATTTGGATATTGCATTCCATAAAATATTGCTGCTTCATATGTCCAGGATCACTGTTCTTAGTTTATCTTAACGAGGCTTCTGGAGGCAGATATTAATGGATTGGTGACGTCTAATTATCTTTTTTATAATTTTCTGTTTACTAAATACATAATTTATTTTATGTAAAAGATCTAAGATTTTACTGTGATGTTTTAGCAAGTCTGTGACACTTATTCCATTGTTATAGAACTATAATAGATTTAAGACACAACATCAATAAAGGTAGATATGAACTTTTAAAGAGATTGCAAATATATTGCCACAACTCCTTGAATTCGTGACGGTAAACGAAGAGGAAGGAACAGTTTTTATTGTTATTGTAAATAAAATACAACAGAGAAACCTTTACACAATATTGATTCGCATAAATATATATATGTGAATATATATATATATCTTGCGGCACTGACAGACAGACAACGTACAGCCGAAAGTACTGAGTGTGTAAATTTGGTATGAAAATTCCACCCCGAAAGGGCTAAATTAGGGGATGAAAGTTTGTATGAAACTTAGTTAGTGCTAGTAGTTTCAAATTTAGCATGCGGACTCTTTTTAGGATGTAGGTGCTCACTAAGACGGAATTTTACGAAATTGGACCCTTAAGGGGATAAATTAGGGGATGAAAATTTTTATGGAATTTTCTCATTTCTGGATTTAAAACTTGACCACGCGGGTAAAAGCTAGTTATCTTGCATTACAAATATAAATATCATTGCAAACGCACTAACGATCTGCGCCATTAAGCTTCTTGATGATTTAATGACGTTTAACAATTTTGACAATTTTTTTATGCAAACTCGCCATCCATTGAACCCATCGCTGTCTTGGTTAAGATTAGCCTCTCGAAAGGTGTTTTGAAAAATGCTTAATAAATTCAGTCCCTGACACCCCGAGATGGAACCCGAACTCACAACCTTTCGCAATCCGAGTGACTATTCTAAAGACTTTGCGCGAGATTCAACAGGAATTGAAGACTTTCTCAAGCATGTAGTTATTACTTTGAGCTTATGTTCATCAATGTACACACACCCAAACATCCGAATTAAATACACTGCGTTACACGATATTGGTACCCGTTAAACTGATAGCTGAAATGAATAGGTAATTAATGAGTCACAGATAAAATGTTCCAAATACGAGTATATGTGGTATCCAACACGTCTAGTTTTCGAGGTACATGTCAATTATTATTTTAACTACTCTCACTTTAGGCGTATATGAAACTGTTGAGGTTTTCAATGTTATACTTTTTTATTGTTTAGTTTTATTCATAAATCGTTTCTATTCGATATCCTCGATATCTCTAAACATATTTATTTAAAAATCCAACACGAATACTGAACTAAGTGGCCGTCGCAACTGCAAAAATGAACCAAATAAATAAGTTTTGTTATGTTTGTGGACAGTACATTTTTTCAGTTTTCATAAAAGGGAGAACTGCATATTTACTTTATTTTGGACGTGTTAATCAAGATAAACCATGGATACTAAAGTTTTGTTACGTGCTATGCTACTCTCATATCTTGGTTAAATAGAAACAAGACGTCAATGCTATTTGCCATACCAGCTTTATGGGGTGAACCTAGTAATCATTTTAATGATTTCTACTTTTGCATAACTGATATATGTGGCTTTTCAAAGAAAATCAAGCACAACATTCAGTATCCTGACATTCCTTTATATTTGAAACAAGTACCTTACAAATAAGAAATGCCTCCTCCATTACCTCATACCAAAAATGAAATTGAGATTTCAGAAGCGCCATATATGCCAAATGTTGTAAAATATAATGACGACAGATGCCTGGTTTTCACTGAAAGCAGTCGTAAAAGAGTTTTTAGGGAACCATAGAGCCGAAAATGCGGAACAGCTACTTAACTATATATGTTAAAAGCATACGGAAAGTTGGGTTGTAGAATGCCGTTAAACTTTGTTCATTCCCACTATTCTTTTTTTCTATCTAATCTTGGTTTTGACTGTGATGAGAGGTTCCACCAAGATATAAAGAAGCTTGAAGAACGATTTTAAGGCCGCTGGGACACAACTATACTAGGCGATTACTGTTGGCGTCTAAAACGAGAAGATTTTATTAGATATCTTTAAATTATGTTTGAATCTTTCAATTTTTAGCATAATTTTTGTCATATCCTCACGTAACCTAATATGTATGTATTTTTACTAAATGATAGTAATAAATAGGAAATCGTGTCATTTCAAAGCAGGTACTTAATTTTTTTTTCATTTGTAACACAGAGATTTTTTCAAATGTTTTGAATGAGAAAAAAAAATGAAAAATGTGTACTAATTATTATATTTGGTGAATATTGCACTCACAGTGCTATTCCGTTGGATTTCGGGGTGCCTAGAACATGTGAATTTTTTAAGCATGTCTTTATTTAGGATCAGAATCAGATGATATGGCATTCTAAACGCAAAATTAATCAATAGTAGATATAAACTAAAAAAATCGACTTCTTCAACTATGAATTCGTTTTCTATTTTTTCCATAAATCATTGTCTAAGTAATCATAAGTTATACACGAGGTGACCGTCGTCAGTTTTAGTAATTTGATTCATTAATTTATGAAATCTCGTGGTATTTTTGTGGTTTTATAGTACAATGGAAAATCAATCAATCATAATTAACCAGGTATCGAGTTATATATTATTTATATTCCGTTATTACTATATGTTTACGGTATTAAAAGTCGAATGCAATAGGGATGATGACTAATTTTTGTTTGTTTGTCCGTCAGGTAGAGTGTTAAAAAATATTAAACACGTACACATTTATTTTTTTCGTAATCATAAAATTACGGCGTTACATTGAGTTGAAATTTCGCATGACGTCACGTTAGAGTACGTTTTCTACTTAACTGTGACGTAGCCAGCCCCCACTCCTCAACTTTAATGCCTGTTATCTAAGATATTTCTTGTTAAATTGAAGTAAAAAAAATACGTATCTAATATTTTTCTATTATCTGACTGACGGACTCAATATAATTGCATTTTTTTTACCAAGTCATCATCCCTATTAGGTAATGTGATGATAAAAAGCTATGTGCAAGACTTTACTAATAACCAAACATGTTACCGCGTATCGGTGCGGATTACTACTGTTTTTGGTGTCAGATTTTACCCGACTGCGCGATGCAAAGGAGGGTAATATGTTTATCAGTCTATGTATGTATGTATGTTTGTTTCGATGTGGCGTTCTAGAGACCAAATGCGTTGGCCCATTTTGATGATTCTTACGTCAATCGATTCGTCTTAAACTTGCGAGTGTCAATAAAGACATGACAGTAATCAATATTTATCACAGCGACAACCAGACGCCATATTTAATTTTATTTATACTTTTATATTTTTTTTTATGTATTATCTAATTGTTTTATCAAATTTCCAATTAATTTAACTACCATAATCTTTTAATAGTGATGATATAGACAATGCTGGGAGGGCGCTGTTAGCCGAAATACAGTAATAAACTAGCTCGGCTACAGACGCTAATCTATTTATAAAATTCGTTAGCCATTGCATTATAATGTTTAATTTTAAGTATTAATTTTTAATTTACTTTCTTGTATTTTGGCTGTGTGTAAATAAATAAATATTATTATATAAAAATATTATTATTATATTGTCAAAATGAAAAAAATAAAAATCGATGAACTATGTCAATTGGGGTGTCGTTGAATAGGTATTTTAAAATCATCTTTAGGTTCCTTTTATCATTTTTCATTTTAAATAATAGTTTAGGATATATAACGATTTAAAGTTGTTTAACTAAATATTCTAAACATTCTCGCTAATTTTCTTACTTATTGATTAAGTTTTTATTTAAAGTATAAACGATATACAAACAAAAAAAAACATCAGTGAATAAGCATGAAGAACAAATATTTTTGGGAAAAAAATAAAGCATATGCAGCTTTGAGCCGAGTTAGGTCTCTAGAGGGACTAATCATCAGTAGTTTAGATCCCCACGATATTAATTCCCTTTATGAAATAACTAGATTGCGAAATTTACCATCTTATAACGAAGTCAACAAATCGTCACTAAAAAGTATAAAATAAAAATAAATAATTTAAAGAAAAAGAAAAAACCCAACTGCGTAAAAACGAATTTTAAAAAATACATAAAAAAGTAACTTAAAAGAAATAAACAAGCCAAGAAAAAAATTTAAAGGAAAATGTTGAACTTAGATACATATTTCATAAATCAAACTTTATAGCTTGTAAGACCGAGCTGGCTGAAATAGACTGGGATGAGTATGCTGATTTGGGTTGTAATGACTTCTTACAAGTATTTTATAACTTTTTATGGGAAGTGATAGAGAAACATACGCCGAGAAAGAGGCCTAGAAATTCACACCCGGAATGGTTTTCAAACCCTTTAATTAAACTACTACGTGAAAAAGATAAGTTTCACAGAAAATATAGACGGTTGGGAAATCCTCGCGACTACGACACGTACACCATGTTGAGAGCTAGAACGAGGACGGTTTATCATTTTTGTTATAAGAATTATATAAGTCGTGTAGAAGAGAATATTAAAAAGGACATAAAAGCATTTTGGAAATATACGAAATCTAAAAAAGCAACAAATGATTTACCACGTCAGATGTATTGTGATACTGACTCGGCGGATGACGGAATTGGCATTGCTAACCTCTTTGCTGGATACTTTGCTTCGGTGTACAATGAACCCACTACCAATCCATACGCTCCCGATTTTCCGGAATCAAATTTCTGTCTTTCAAATATTAATATCACGGAAAAGGATATTAAAGTAAAGATTAAGGCATTGGACATATCGAAAAGTGTAGGTACTGATGCCATACCAGCTATATTCGTTAAGAATTGTTTGGATGTGCTGGTGAAACCGTTGGTTGTATTGTTTAATAAAAGTCTGGATGAAGGGTGCTTTCCGGAGCTTTGGAAGAAAACAAGGATTGTGCCAATACATAAGTCCGGCAGTAAAGCGGACATCAAAAATTATCGCCCAGTGAGTATACTTTGTTGTTTTAGCAAGTTGTTCGAGAGTTTAATATTTGATCATCTTTATTATCATTTTAAGACTATAATCTCAGAAAAACAACATGGCTTTGTTAAGGGACGGTCCACAACTACAAATCTTTTAACTTATACGCATTTTATAAGTAACGCTTTCAATAAGCGTGCCCAGGTGGATTCATTGTACACTGACTTCTCAAAGGCATTTGACAGGGTGGATTATCGCATCCTCTGTCAAAAACTGCAGCACTTCGGTATACATGGTTGCCTTCTTCGTTGGCTGGAGTCATACCTCACAAATCGCACTCAACTTGTAGCGGTGTACGGTTATGAATCTGTCCCATTTACATCTACCTCTGGTATTCCTCAGGGTTCAAATTTGGGGCCATTGCTCTTCGTTGTGTTTATTAACGATCTTCTCGAATCTATCCCATGTAACTGTATTGCTTACGCTGACGATCTAAAGATATACTGTGAAGTGTCTAGTGCGGCTGACGGTGACTTATTGCAGTCTGGTATGGATCACCTGTATAGATGGTGTGTCACCAACAATATGTCGCTGAATATCGGGAAATGTCATCTAATTACATTCACAAAAAATAAAAGCCTTATCAATTATCCTTATAATATTGAAGGCGTGTCAATAGTCAGCCAGTCTACTGTAAAGGACCTCGGAGTTGTGTTGGATTCTAAATTGAGTTTTGTTCCACATTATGATTACATGACAGCAAAAGCAAATAAAACCCTGGGATTTCTTTTTAGAATAGTTAAACCTTTCCGAAAGCCAGAAAGTGTTTTGTTAATTTACTCTGCATTAGTTAGAAGTATATTGGAATATTGCTCAGTAGTGTGGTCCCCATATCACCATATTCATATTGATAGAATAGAAGCAGTTCAAAGACGTTTTCTAAGACATTTAAGTTATAAATTTGGCATAAGACGCAAGCTTCCTACATATGAGGATAGATTGAAGCACTATAATCTCTTTACTCTGAAATCAAGGCGGGCCGTTGGTGATCTTACCGCTATGTACAAGATAGTGAATGCAAATTGGGATGTATGTGAGTTGTTGAGCCATCTATCTTTGGGAATTGGAAGTAAGCGCACGCAGAAACTCTTTCACGTGCCATACTGTTCTAATGGAGTTGCTTATAATGATCCTATAATCCGTATGAGACGTAATTATAATGAAATCAATAATAACAGAGAACTGGACATATATTTTCAGAGCTACCCTGCATTTTTGAAATACTGTATTTTAAAGTTGTGCAAGTAAGATATATATCAGTGTAATAATATGTCATTCAATGGATTTATTTTTGTTATTCTTTTTTATATTTGTGTTTTTTTATTATTTTAATTGTTATGAAATGAAATGAAGTTGTAAATTTATGAAAATGTTAGTACCTATATTTGAAATGTTCGCCTGTCATTGCATGTGGTTGTAGGTTTTGTTTTTACAATTGTTTTGCCATTTTTATATTGATTTGCTTGATTGGTTGTATATGTGTTGAGATGTTGTGGCTATCTCTAAGCTAATTGAATATTAAAAGCTTGGTTAGAGATAGTGACCTAATAGTATTAGTATTATTAATTAATTATTGTATAAATTGCTGAATGGAATTTATGGATTATATCTAAAATTGTAAAGGTTGTAACCGGTTTCGCACTTGTTTTTAATTTTGGAATGTTTAAAGTTTGAAACTT